AATAATAAATATATTTAAGAAAAAAATCAAGTAGCCTTGCCTTTGATAAAAACCTTCTCCCACAATAATCAAAGTTCATACACAATTCTATTGAGAGTTTCGCTCAGTTCAAACTCAACAAAAGTTACGAAACGAAAATCTGTTATAGGAAAACCAAAAAATACAAAGAATGGCAGACAAGCGACGTCAGAGTGTAAAGCAACGTGGCTCAATATTGTAAGTTCTTATATCACATCGGATTTGGCTCATCAATGTGCAATTTGTTGTGGGCATTTTCAGTACTGCGGTCTACGAGGGCGACTCATTTGTGCAGCATTTTGAGAAGCGGGGCGCACGTGAAATAATCATAATGGATGCAACGGGCAAGCCGTTGCGGTCCACGGTCAGCCAGAGGCGCACCTTTGTCTATGCGGCCCAGCTGCATCCGTTGGCCAAAATGGCACGCAACGTGGTCAGAGATTTGGATCCGGCTAACGATGTTACCTTTTTGCGTATACGTTCCGAAACGCACGAGGTTCATATGTCGCTCAATCCCGAGTTTATTGTTGTGGTTATACAGAAACTGAAAGCACGTAAACGCTGAAACAATATTGAAGAAAATGAACACTCTGAGTATATGTGTGTGTATATATATATGTGTGTGTGTGTGTGTGTTAACTTTAACAGAACAAAATTACACATTGCCATTGTCAAAAACAGATGAACACTATACAGAGACATCCGCATTTTATTAAATCCAAATCAGCGCTGCATTTACAAAAATCTTCTCATTTCAATAAGAGCTTATTACGTATACGTCGACTGAATACGTCGATCATGCATCATACGTCGATTGTAACATGATGAACGATTTACAAGACTTACGATTACTCGCTGAACACTGTGTGTGTGTATGTGTGTGTAAACTTTATCAGAAAGTACGCTTTGCCATTGTCGAAAACAGATTGTCATGAGCACTATATAGACCCATCCGCATTTTATTAAATCCAAATCGTCTCTGTGTTAACAAAAATCGTTTCGCATGGATAGGCGCATATTACGTATACGTCGATCACGCATACGCCGATTGTAACATGACAAACGATTTACCAGGCCAATAGAACGTGCCTTGGCAATGCATCAAACCGTCAATTATGCACAGGCATAATGGTCATACCTACATCAGCCCACACACACACATATGTCTTCCACGCACTCGTGTGTGGTTGAGTTTGACTGAGCCACACGAATCACAACTCAATCGACAGATTCATTAATCGTGCAGCTGGTTTAGTCAGTTTGGTTTTGTATGGAGCGTGGGGCTTCATTAAAAACCAGTCTGTAGTCTTTGCGCTTACTTAACACTTGGAACAGATAGAAGAGATCGAAAGTTGAATCAGAGCATGGCATCTAAATTTCTTGCTTTCATTATGGATTATTCGCAATTAAATGCACATGTTTATTGCCTGATTATTGTTCCACATTTTCCTGTTCTGCTGGTTATTCAAATACGCTGTATACCCTGTGAAATGTTTTCCAAGGGGGTATGCTGAGAGTTGTAAGTGAATATAGATCTCAGAGTCAACTGTTTCTATTTATGGATATATTGAAATTCTCTGACTTTAGACTGCAAAGAAAATATAATATAAAACCTACAAATTAATTTAAATAATGAGCTTTATATATTTCATTAAATATCAGAAAATATTGCCAATTATATTATTAAATTTTTATCAGAGATGTTAATAGTAATTAAGTCAGATTGATTCACGGAATATTTATAAATCTCAAGTCAATGTAAACTGCCTTAATTAGCTACACTTATCTTAACTAAATATTTGCCTCATCCACAGGGTATTCATTAGTCGCACAACCCTAAGGAAAAACCCCTTTGTTTATTTGTTATTTTATTTGTAGCTTTCAGTTTATGTTCCATTGGCATTATTCATTTATTGCAGGAAGCTGTTCATGCCACAAAATGGCGCGTGCCGCCTGCGTCAAGTGGGCTAATTCACACATACGCACACTCTCACACTCACGCACACCCCGAGTGTTTGTGTAGCCATATTGGCTTTTGTTTTGCATTAATTTATGCATATTTATTTAACATGTTGCTTTTGTTTGCCGTCATTTATCTGCCGGCTTTCAAATTGCATTTGGCTGTTGCTTTTATTACTGTTGTTGTTGTTGCTACTGCTTTTGTTGTTGTTTATCTGTATTGTTCACATATGTTTTGTAGCCTTGTTTGACCATTGCATTAGTCGACGGCAGGTAGCTAGAGCGAGTGAGACAAAATAAAATTCAGCTGCGCGCAGCAAATAACATTTAAAAAATTTTTTTTTTAATAAATTTAATCCCCTGACATTATGTGCCGCCACATAAACATATATATATACATATTTGAATGTGAATAAATAAATGTAAGCCTAGAGTCAATATAATGATGGTCCATAGTCAAATTACCCAAAAATATTTGCACATACCCTGTACGGAGAATGAAAGAGAGTTTATTGGCTGCTATAGCAAATCATTTTAGAGGTGACTTATCTAAAGCTATTATGAGCAATCAAAATTGTATAAAATACACAGAAATTCTACATACATATATTCAAGTTATGACTCTCTTAAGAATCTCTGAAGATATCATTTTTTAACTCATTTTTTATAAGGGTTCTTAATTGATAACAATCAATCCGAAATAGTAATCGATTTTTTAAAACAAGCTCGATCTGCGCATGCTTTACAAGGACCTACAACAAATATTTCGAGTCTATGCTTCTTATCATGTCTGAGATTGAACCCGTTCATTGACGGATAGACGGTCAGAGCTAGATCTACACAGCTTGTAAGAATATATATACTCTATGGGATCTGCCACGCCTTCGTCTGCTTATTATATAACAAAACTATAATAGATCTCCACCTTTCCCACATCTCTCCATATCAACGGGCTCCATATTGCTCAGTCGATAACACCAAATGCTGGCGATTTGCATTTTTTTTTTATTTAACCAAAATTATTTTTGCTTTATTTTCACCGGGCACAAAACGACTGTGTAAAATGCTGTAATTAAAAAAAAAAAAAAACCTTGCATGCTTAATTAATATTGCGCATATGGATTAAAAGTCGGCAGGAATTCGGCAGCAAAGGGCGAGTGAGCTGCTGCTCTCTGGACTCTCATCCCCCCCACTGCAGAGAGCTCTCATTTATCATTGGCCTGGCAGACGGATAAAAATAATGCTCGGCTACGACTGACTTTTGAAGCGGTAACAACGTGATTAAGTGCGCAAATGCACTGTCACATATGTTGACATTTAATTTATACGATTCCAATATAAAGGTATATATACAGATATATGTATTTATATATGTATACATATACACATATAAAAAACATTGCCTGATGTTGACTTTTCATGAATATTCAAGAGCCATCAATCATATTCAATCTGACGACTGCCATACGAAATGTGTCCTTAATGTGCTCGCGTGCGAATAGCTTTTGTCCCACTGTGCCGACGACGCCTTGAATGACCACGACGGCGTCGATTGGAAATCATCAAACTTGACATCGGATTCCGACGCTGCTGACGTTCACTGTTGACTGCGAGCCACAGCAGCGCCTGCGGCTCAATTGGAATCCGTGAATTTGCCGTCTGACGTTGATGGAACGTGAAATTGTGTGAATGCCTCAATGGAGATTTACACGGTTTTCGGCTATTTTCGCAGACGTTGACAATTCAATTGAGCCGGGCAGCCTAAATGCTGCAGACATCAAGCATAATTCTATATGAATCAAACATATTTGCCTGCATAATTCACACAGTCTTTAGATTTTCAATTTATTTTATGCATATTCATTCACGAAAATGAAACGAGTATATTGGTTTTGTGCAATGTCTGTCTTGCTGTCCGTCCGTCTATCCGAATAAATGAGTCATATGATAAATTAAAGTGGATATTTCTACGCCCATTGGGGTATGTCATTTTGGTTCATGACTGAGTATTCTGCAGTTGCAACGTTCTTAGTTGCTTTCATATATTTTCGTTATTAAATATTGCAAGTAATTTATATAGTAAATTTATATTACTATACCAAATTGTTTTCTCTTCCATTTAGACAACTCAAAACAAAAAAAATCAAGAAAAATCGCTTGCCCTTTAATTATTTATCAAAGGATGCTCTCATGACTAATTGAATTTGTCATCCTGTTTATTTATACAACTGAAGTCAACTGCAAAATGGCAACACGATGGCCATTCAGCAGCATCCGCTGCCCACCAGCTGACCGCCTCCCGTGTCCTGTGCCATTGTGCTGTCGGGTTGTCCCATTCACCCGTTCCCCCTTTCACCCGTTCCCCCATTCACCCAGTCAGCTCACTCATGTGACTAATGGTCTTCCCTTTGCCACATTTGCGGGGCATTCATCATGCGAGCTGTGGGCCGTTCAGCATGTGTTGCCCTAATTAGTTGCTCCGACCAAAGTACGCGCTGATTAAGTTGACGTCGGGCATAACAAATGGCAAAGTATTTATGAAACATTTTTATTTGCAAATTACGAAAAGTTCAATTTGCGATTGCCTCAAATTTGAGAAAAACAAAAGAAAATGCCAAATAGATGAAGATTTTATTTTGATTAGTTTATGAAATATGAATGTGAATATAGCTAATGACTCACTTATTAATTAGTCGCTCATGACTTGAAATGTTAGGGTATGCATCCACTCTCAGATCTTAAGCTAGCTCCCACATACATTTAAATAAATCTGGCAAAAATATAATATCAAAAGAAACGTAGTATATTTATGAACTTAATTTAAAGTCAGCTCAATATAAATCCGATTTTTACAGATGCCACATAAATTCCTTTCTCAGAGTGTGTACTTCATTATTAATTATTACTGAGTTTATTCGTATTGAACTTCTTTCATCGACAATATTCATGTGTAATGCACTGCCTGAAGGACTTTTCCATTTCGCTTTCGCATAAGCTTAATTCAACAAAAGAAAAAAACGACATTAATTAAACGATTTAAACTCACATGCACACACACACACACAAACACACAGTCTCACACACACACATTGTTGTGCATTACACAGCGAATGGCAGCGATCATTGTTTTAACTATTGACGTCAGCATTGCGGCATTGAGGAACAACAGCTGCAGCAATTTACACTTTATATTAAGGCATTATTAATTTTAATTACATTCCAATTAAATCTCAATTACACTAGCCGCCTTCAGCATCGACGCCTTCGAGTGTTGCGGCACTCGTTTGATTTGACTTGAATGCAATTACCATTTAATAAACGACTTGATGCTCGATGCGATGATGCGACTAGAGTAGCTCACATACTAACACACACATACACACACACACCCACACACACACAGCCACACATCATTAAGAGTGAGAGTCAACTATTTGCATGTGTGTCGAGTCAATATTGCCTGAGAATGCATTTTAATTGCATTTGATTAATTGAATTTCGCAAATTGCAAATAAAATTAATTCACTTCGTCGATTTTCCTGGCAGTTTGCTAAATTTCCATTCAATCTGAGTTATGCAAAGTTAATCAGTTAATTAACATTTCTCTTTGGGGCTAACATGTGTATTTTCTTGCCTGCCATAATCCGCACGGCAGTTGTTCTGCCTTGTCTGGCATTCGACAAAGACCGAAAAGAACAGTTCTTAATAATGGCAAAAGTGCCGAAGGCTCCGGCCATAATTACATGCAGTGGCTAAACGAAAACATCAACTACGTATCGTCCAAATG